GTCTTATTTGAGGGTCTGATAGTCAATTTGCATATTACCTCTTTATTATATAGGATTGTCCCCACCAGAAATAGGCTGTGAATTATTTAAGCTTTGCTGAGTGTAACCTGCAGCTGTACAGGCTTATTTATCCTGAACTCTCAGCCTCTAAGATTTCTCTCCACGTACATCTCTAATCCTGTTTGCCTATCTATTGTAAGTGGACATCTTTCATTTTTATGCCCAAAACATGTCCTTCTTGGTGAATCCTTCTTTGACCACTTTTCAATAGTGTCAGAATAACTTATGATTTTAATTTACCATCTAAACCAAAGCACTTAAAAGAATAGGAGGGAGTGGTATTATTATGCTGGAACAAGGACCATAAACCAGATTGTCCCAATTGTCCCAATACGGCCATCCCACTTATTGTACCTGTGGCAGAAAAGGGGATCTCAATTCTCTCATTTTTTATTGCTCTTGGAAATTGAACCATTTTACACAATAAGGCATTGTATCCTCAAAACAAAAAGTGATCAATATTAATAAGAGAGAAATAGGTGCTCATCACTGAAGAAAACAAAGATTGAGCCAGGGCTGCCAGTGTGAGTATGGCTACAAATGGAGTCAGGACTCTATGGAGAGTGAAGGGGGTTGGAAAGGAAAGCAAGAGAACTTGAAGGCAGGCACTTAAGGGAGTCCATCCACACGGATTCTGCAATGTCACCTTTCCCTGTGGTTCTCAAGCTTTAGTGACCATCACGATCACCTGGGAGACTGGCTAAAACATGGAGCTGGGCCCTGTCTACACAGTTCCAGACACAGTGGGTTTGGGAGAAAGCCTATCATTTGCATTTTTAACAAGTTCCAAGCTGACATTACTAGTCCAGTGCTCATAATCTTAAAACCTCTTAGGAAAACAACAAAATAAATGCTTTGCACCAGACTCTGGGCTCCATGTCTGAGGTTAGCTATCAGTTAGACTGAGCGCTTCTGGTTAATTCACTGCAAGTGCCACGCCTTTCCCTATAGCACAGGCATAATGACCCGGCTGCACACATGCACATATGTATGAAGAATAAGATATACTCATTAAATACAAAATTACTCTTTCAAATTTTTAAAATAAGGTGATTTAAGAGTTCTATCCCTCAAATGCAGAAGAGATTTCTGAGAAATTACTT